CCCCCCCCCTTTTTTTTTTTTTTTGGACTGTATGTTAGTTCTCAGCTTCTGTTCTTCTCCTGGTCCTCAGTTTTGTTTGAAGGCCGGGAGGACTGATTCAGGAGGGGACACACTCATTGCTCATGATACTCCTGCGATGGAGCTGACTTTTTCAAAGCGTGCTACAAATGTATGTGTTCTTAGGTGTTACTAGGAAGTAACGCGTGGGAGAGTCATATTGCTTATTATCATGGTTTAAATTTTGTGTGGCTGTCATTTCCTGTGGAAAGAGTGACTTCTGATTTTTACTGTAGTCCAACACAGTGCAGTGTACAGTCTAAGTTGGATTTTTCCATCCAAGCACACAGTACCTCAGCACCGTGCTGGCTGCAGTGTAAGAGTAGCATCCCATTGATTCGCATCTCGACCTATTTCAATTTTTTTTTCACAATTCTGAATACTGATTTCCCAGTATTGCTATTATAATGCAGTGACCCTTTCCTACTGGAGTATATCCCAAGATAGTAATCTGATTGCACAAAAATAATTTGATCTTTGTTCACAGCAGAGCCCAAACCATGTCCTTCATGCTTGTGACACTTCTGTTTTATAACCCTGTGACCTGACACACATAGATCTTATAACTGATGGTGTCACTTTGCTGGATGGTTTTAGAATAGCACTGCTGGCAGGCTGCCAAAGCATATCCTGGCCATAAAAGGGCTCCTTTAGACTATAGCTGAGCTAATTTTTGTCTAAGATCAAGCATGGACATAGAAAGCATGAGGTTTCCCGAGCAGATGTTTCTCCAATGCAGGCTGGTGGTGATGTCACAGCAGCATTGTAGGACCAGGCTGAACTGGTTTGATATTCAGCATGAGAAGATACCTGTTAAAAGAACCAGGAAGAAATACCTGATTGTTGGCACTGATACAGCTCCAATTCTTAGAAAGCTGGGGGGAATGTGGATTTAACAAGCACAGAGGAAGTTACACATCTGGTTTTCCCACTGGATCTGGTAGCCATGCACAGGACTTCTGCTTCTCCTTGAAGACTGACCCCAGTTGAGAGATTGCTAAGTCCTGCTCCCAACTTTCCTTTTTATGCTTTATTGTAACAAAATTAAATAAATCCAAATTCATGAGAATTTGTTAAAAATTTAAGATTTTGAAATTTCATTTTAAAATCACAGAGCTGTGAGGCTGACTGATTATTTATAAAGATGATGTCTGGAGTACTAGTAGAAACTCCATGCCTTTTCAGTAAAACTCTTCAAAAGATGACCATGTGTAGTTTGGAACCTGCCAGCACTCCCAGTTTCACTGTTGATCCAAAGCACAACTCTTTTTCTTTAAATGGACTACGAGACCTGACATGTTCAGACTTGACGTTAGGAAGCATTTCTTTACCAAGAGGGTGGTCAAAAACTGGAACAGGCCTTCTAGAGAGGTGGTTGATGCCTGAAGCCTGTCAGTGTTTAAGAGGCATTTGGACAATGCTCTTAACAATATGTTTTAAATTTTGGTCAGCGCTGAAGTGGTCAGGCAGTTGGACTAGATGATCGTTGCAGGTTGCTTTCAGCTGATATATTCTATTGAAATATTCTATTCTATACAAGGAAAGACAGACATTTAGCTCCTGCTGGTATAATTTAAGGGTGACCAATGGGGTAGGGAGGCAAGTATTAGGCAGTGCAGAAGAGTCTGGACGTCTTGTTGATGAAAGCATGGGCTGGCTCGTGTCTCCACCCCGCCTGTTTCCTGCTTGGTAAACAGGACTGTACTTTGATGTTTCCAGGCTCAAGAAGCCACTGGTATGCAAAGCAAAGGCTGGATTCTCCTTGAAGAGCAGTGTGGTTTCATTGTGTAGCTTTGCAGCCCAGGTTTTTTCCCCACTGATGAAGGAGCCGATCCTCTGAATCGTGTACCTGGTGTGGGGCTTGCAGAGGGCAGGGCACTGTGCTGTGGAGGGTGTGCCCATGGTACTGAGAATGAGTTATGGCTGCTCTTGTGGTGCGTAGGTCCAGTTTGTGTTGCTTTTTGCCTCTTGCCATTTAAGAGGTAGTTTGAAAGGTCTGGGCTCAGCCAACGACACTGGCACAGGTAGAGTGAGGTACTGGGCAAAGGCTGAGCCCTAGACCCAGGACTAAGGAGGTGAGGGACCATTTCCATTACCATGCTGTCACCACTGCACCATGCTGGAGCTGCATCAGCCTTGGGTGGACATCAGTGGTTCTGCGGGGCTTCCTGGGTAGGCAGAAATCTTCCCTTCCTAATGGACTGTACAGATTTAGCAGGACTGGCCTCAAGTTTAGGAAACTTGGGTCTTTTCTCTGTTATCATGTGTTGTGTGTGGGCAAAAGAAAGCGAAAGGACTTATGTATGCCTGGGGGATACAAAAAAGATAAAGATACTATAATGGGTGCATTACCAGTATTAAAAATCCCTCTCCACACCTCCCCAAGGAATTTGTGCCTTGTTCCTTGTGCTGTTATTGAGCTGTCTTTGGCTGTAGACAAAATCTCTGTGAAATGGAGAGATCGTACTTAACTTGCAGTGTTGTTGTGAGCTACAGCTTGAAATCCTTGGATGAAAGGCATATAGCACTTAATTATCATTATTGGTACAGACTTGTTTTGCTATTTGAATATCAATAAGTCCTTTGAAGAAGTCATTGAGCCTGCTAGAGTCAAAGTCCTGATTTATATCAATAATTTTTGTTACTGTGTTGTTTATTTTTTCCTGGTGGGCCATTTATTATCTGTTTAGATTACTATTAAACGAGGGAAGAAATCAACAATCCCAACATTAAAGTAAAGCAACTTGAAAGGGTGTAATTCAAATCCCCAAAAGAACAAAAATGCTGATAATCAGAGGAAACTGGTTGACTCTCCCCTCACCCTTAAACCACCCTGTGGTGCTAGGCTATTGCAGTGTGCACAGTTTGTTATAGATGGATGTTCTACCACTGCGAAGCCCCTTACATCCTTGCCCACAAAGTGTAGTGAATTTAAGATCAAGGCGAATGTGGAGTTTTAACCTTAGCTCCCAACTATTTTACTGTTATGGATCCAAATCCTCCTTTTGTGTAAAGTTGGATGTGTCTTGTTTGTTTATAGTACTGTAACTGCTAATCTGCCCCCAAAATCTGCCCTTTCCTGGAAGGGATGAATAAGTAGGTGGCACTTGAGATTAATCTACTGTTCTGTCTTTTCAAGCCGAGAGAAGTTAGGTGATTTAGCTAAAAAGGCATTTACAGCATTCCCTTCTATACCCTGGGGGTAGGAGAGGGAAGTTGGAGTGTGGGCAGAAGGGGGAGAGGAGAGGAGTGGTGGGATGGATGAATGGCCAGGCAATGGGGAAGGTCTCCTCTTTGATACATTACCATGTCCTCTTTAAGAGCTGTATGGCTGTGGGACCCTCCTTGGTAGCTAGGGTCAATGCATTCAGGGCTGGGGTTGCCAGATGAGAGACCTGGAAGATTGCATTTCTTCTCTTATAACAGAAATTTGGGGCAAATCATTAACTGCTAGAATTAATAATTGGTTCATGCTGGGCTGTCTGATAGTCCTCTATTATCTACATCATCTGCTTTTCAGGCAGCTCTGCAATCGCTGGTGTATTTTGGAAGCTGCAATCATCTCTCTTGCTAAGGGGC